CAAGGTGGATGATAGGAATCGCGTATCAAGGATGAGGACGAGTGTCTCCTGGAGTTCCGCGGTGGATGGGTGACCATGGCAACGGCAACGCACGTTGCGTTTAGACTCGCGACCTCCTGACTTACATACGGGACAGACGCCAATAGGTATGCGCGCTCATCATCTCACGTCGTGCATCGGAAAGGAACCCTTGGGGCCCCAGCGCTTCATTACGGGTCGCAGCACGACGACCGAAGCGCTAAACAGTACAGAGTCGCAGAGTTTGCCTTGCCCTAGGTCAAACCGTCACGAAGACCAGGGAGACGTGACGGGGAGTGTAGATATTGCGAATATATAGAATATGCAGCATGGTGGTGGCAGGCAAGTCGGGGCTTGGTCGGGGCGGGTGGACGTTACTGCCGATGGCCCCGAGCGCGGCGCGCGGGACGCCGCCGAGGGTCCGTTCGCACGCTCTTCGGTTTCAACCACAGCAACCTCTATTCAAGGGCCTGTACCTGCGACATGCACTCAGTCACTCTGCTGTTGCTGTATAGTTCTTTGACTCATGTAAACGTTATGTTGCCGGACCGATGCACCTACCCTCATGGTGGCGCGCACTGCACGACACCCGTCCAACCGACAGCCCTACCTTTAAGCCGGCCTGGCTGATGTGATAACTCAGACTAGCTTATTTCACATGCGCAGATGCGAATCCAATGAGCCCTACTACTCAGACGCGCGCCGCCAACTTTCGCCGCGGTCATGAATCAACCCGGTTGAGGGAGCAAGGACCCGTCAGCATCATGTACTCGCCCCTGTCATCATGATCCTGCTGAACTCTTTTGAGCCTGTCGTATGTGTGGCGATCCTAGTCTGCCTACTTCGCCGTCATCGTTTCCATAAGTCGACTGCACAAGTAACTGGGAAAGGCGTGCATAGCTGACGTAACGGGGTATAATACGATACTGACAGACACAAAACGCGAGACTGATACGAGAAGAACGAGTCCGGGGTATCTACGCTGACATCGGGCGAGAGCATCCGGCGCACGGACTGTGTCGTCTACTTCTTGATGAGTGTGCAGTCGGAGGCATGGCCACCACCTTTAACACCTTCGACAACGCATGAGCATCAGATCTTCCACCTCAGAGAGACGGCGTACTCACCGCAGTGAGGACAGGTGGGACCTTGTTTAGAGACTGAGATGACGGGAGGGTTGGTGTTCGCGAACATGGCTGAAAGGACGATGATTGCGGTGCGGGTGCAAGAGGTTTGTCCTGGATGTGAGGGTGGTAGGAAGGTTGTCGAGAGTGGAGGAGCTGCAGATCTTGCAAGCTGCCCATGCCACATTATATACCCTGCCGACAAGCGCTCGGACGTAGCATGGGAAGACCCAGCAGTTTGGACGCTGAATCCTAGGACATAGTGTTGCTTCTACGAACGATGATGAGGCCTGTCGTACTTGTCCTTTTGCGGTGTTTGGTGTTTGGGGCGGTACTGGAGAGGCAACTGCATTGCTTGTACGTTGACTCGCGCCAGAACATAGGATGCCACGCTATGCGATTCGGGTGTGGCGGTCATCTACGCCAATCCTCGGTGCCTCAACTTGGGTCAATGTCTGGTTTCAAGAGCCCAGGAGAGTGTGCAGAGGTTTGAGGCACCAGTTCGCCGAAACACGTCGCTCATGATGATCATCGAAAGGACGTCCGCGAGTGAAGGTGGCCGAGGGACACCGTTGTCAATATCGGTGAATGCTGTGCCTGCCGTTCAGAGCCTCGAGGCTTGCCTCATGTTATATAAAACTGACGCTCTGAGACTGCCAGATAAGAAGATCCCACGCAGTCCATGGCCAATCATGGAGTATAGAGCTTCAGCTATGTGGGTCCTGGGCTCATGTATGTATACAGACTCGCGGATCTACCCGAGAGACAGTCCGAGGCAATATCCACACCGAAGTAGTCAGCAACGCAATTACTTACTCGGGAGGCCGATAGATATTAGTAGTCCAACTAGCATCTGCTCGTCTTAGTAAACATAATAGCTTCCAGGTCATGAGATAAGTCGAAGAGAGAACTGTTGTCGCCAGTGCAACTTGTCCGAGTGATAGCCGGTCGCCGATGCGAGTAGCGAGCATCCCGAGCAAGCGCCGAGCACACGCCGACATCCGCCGTCCACGCCGTCCACGTCGTCTTCTTTCTCAAAGTATAATCATAAGTGCATTCCACATAAGTCGTCGGCGGTACATCGAGCGCAACCTCGGCGAGTTTCAACGACGTGAGAGTAAGAGCCAACCCGCATCACCGCGACCGCGCGATCCACAACCAGGAACATCTACCACTTACTCTCTAACCTCCACCCTATGCTCGACGTCAACGCTGCACTCTTATTATCTTCCCGTTAATGCGCTGACGATGTTGTCCGGCGCTCCTACCCTCTCGCTCGCGACGACTCAGCTCTCTTACACCTCTCCGACCGATGATCCCGCGTTCAACCCATTCGCTGATGCTACGGCCGAGACTCGCTCATCGAAGACTGGTACTACGGGATATGCCGGGCCATACTCTGCCAATACACCCAGTACAAGCGTACTTCGCCCGCGCAGGCGCGGTTCCGATAGTCTACTCGGCCGAGCGCCGTTGTCTCCAACCACCCATGCACGCGCACAGACGCTCGACATTTCTGCATCATCGCCTTCACGGCCCGTGCAAACTTTACAACGGAGGAGATCTGATTATACGAGTGGGAATGGAGATGGAGATGGAGATGTACGGGAAGAGGAGGAGGGAGAGGACGCGGATCACCCGCTTCGTCGGCGGAGCTCGAGTAGGAGCGTGCGCTCTGTTGCGAGCACTAAGCCCAGATTACGAGCGGCACTTGCTGCTACCAGGGAGAGTGCGGAGTTTGATGAGGAACGGGAGGCTAGGAGAGGACGGGAGGCGAAGAGGAGGCAGGAGGGACAGCGGGCGGTACTTGTTCACCAGGTACGTTTGGGATTGCTTCATGTCCGTCTTGTCTGGGATATTCTGGGCTTAGAATGGTGGGAATGCGCTACCGTGATGCAGGTGTATACTATCAGGCGGTGAATGCGGTAGTTGGTTGGATATAACCCCAGCATCAGGAACACGAGCTCGAGATGATTGGAGTTGCCCGGACGGCAGGATGTGCCGAAAGACTATTGCGATTATCTGCCACGAATAATATGGCTACACTCTGTTGATGATTGCGGATGGACTTGAACGCGTACTCCTAGCTTTGCGTAGCGGGGCGTATCTTATGGACGAAATAATGTGCAGACCAAAGAGTAACACGACTGGCCGAGGTCGCTGCCTGCTCCCAAGTTGTTGCAATTGGTCAAATGGCCCTCTCGTGCAACCGCTTGTGATGGTTGTGGCGACTGACTAGTCGCGATCTCCGCAGTCCAACGCCTTCAAAAGACGAATCGACAATTCTCTTTACTATGTCCTTCGCAGACCGAAACGATAGTAGCATTATGACTGACGCATCCTTTACTCAGGTAGCCCCGACGGATTCCCTGCCCGGTGTGGCGCTCAAATACGGCATCACTCTCTCCGACCTACGCAAAGCGAATCAACTCTGGGCGCACGACAGTATCCACCTACGCTCTACCCTTCTCATACCACTCGACCAGGCTCGAAATGCTCGGATGGCGGTAGTCGATGCTGCCGCAGAGGGCAAGGATTTGTTGAGCCCTGAAGATGACGATGCGAGGCTATTGAGCAGTCCAGAGGGTAGTGGGTGGACGACGCTTGAGCCGAACGGCAGCGGGAGAGGGAGTGGGAAGAGGTATGGTCTATTGAGCCCCGAGTCGAGCGCGGAGCCTTCAAGCTGGACAGCCTCACCGCCACCGCGACTATCGCAAGACCCGTCTTCTTCATTGTCGTCACGGCCTTCACGCTCACCAACACGCACACGAACGAACCACGGTCGCGCTGCGACTGAACCTCCTGCAGCGCCACATCTCACAGTTACCCGCGTACCCGCCAGTCGGCTATCGTTCTTCCCGCCTCATTCGAAGCCCAAGCCAAGCTCGAGAGTTCGCGCAAGCGAGGAGCTTCCAAGATCTGGAGGTAGTCTGTTGGCTAGTACTCCCAACGGACGCGCTCGAGCGGGTAGCGACCTCCCATCACCAGCGTACGGCCGATCATCATCAAGTACGACATCACGAACACTGGACTTATTCTCGCTCCGCACACCGCCCGCCTCATCCCCTCTCAATTCCAACATGGACTACTTCTCCGGACCCAATACCTCAGCAACACAACAAGACGCATTAGCAGCTGCGAAGTCTCTCGGACGAGTAGCAGGGCGCGCAGCGGGTTGGCTAGCTGATGCACTCGCTATACCCGTTCCACCTTTGCCAAACGGTGGGACGAAGATGGATGCAGTCGAACTTGGGAGCGCTGGAAAGGGTAAAGACAAAGCTCGAGCTACAACACCGAGTTCAGGCGTAGGAACACCACGTAAAGCCGGTCCAGCAACCTGGTTTACTCCTCGTCCACCATCACCCACCGATAGCGCATCGACCGCCTCCTCCGCTAGTTTATCACCATTCGTACCGCCTCGGACGAAGAATAGACGGATCGGTGCGGAGGGAGATGGTACGGGTGAGGGGATTAGGATGGCTAGTAGTCCGCCTAGGGTACAGGCGCAGCCGGAGGCGAGGAGGGGGATGGTTGTTCCTACTACTCGGAGATGAGGATTGGAGTGCGTGGGGTGGAGGGTCGGAGGGGTGTTCATGGACTAGTAGATCGGTCAAGAGTAGAATGAGGCTTGGATCGGAAGGGTGGAATTGCTGTCGTGTATATTGGATTAGTGTATAATATATTTCATCTGGAGGTCTGAGCTTTACGCATTTCCAATATTGGGCGAGCAACCGTATTGCGATAGAAGAGCTTATAACAGATGTATTCATCTCCAAGTGGGACAGTGAACTGGGGGTATGTATCCTGGCTCGATAGCCTTGCGTGAGTTAATGACGACTAATTGAATACTGAGGTCATGGCGGGATGGCCGAGCGGTCTAAGGCGCCAGACTAAGGTCGTATCCGTAATGCGTAAACCCTGTAATCTGGTCCGAAAGGGCGTGGGTTCGAATCCCACTTCCGTCAATAGCTTTTTGCTTCATGCGTATTGCAAACACCCAGTGAATCAGTGAGGACCGGGAACTCGGGCATTTATAACATTTTTTCAGATCTCTTTCAGTACTTGCGCACTCTCATTTGTGAGCGCTCTATGTGATTGTAGATCTCCCTGTGTGAGCTACCACATGAGCATCATATCAGATATATGCCATGGTCACATTGTATACTGAGTACACGCAGGTGCGGCTCTTGCTGTGTCTTAGTAATCTAATGTCACACTCTCCAACTAACCACATATACTTTGCCTGGGTTTTGCTAGACTCTATTCGCTTCCCGCCTCGTCCACTGCCTCTGCGTCCGAGTCACAGTAATCCGAGTCACAGTAATCCGAAGGGATCAACCAGAGCCCACCCCATCTTAGAGGGTAACCGACTCTCTGAGGGTCTCCGAGACCAGCGTCGCTGTATGAACGCTTCAAGGGCGATCTGTGAGGTGCGGCGGAAGCGTGGTCACAAGAAACGGCGAAGTTCGGCGTCGACTTAAGGATCTTGTTCAGCAAGATGTGAACAGCTAGGGGGACATTGCAGTTACGAAGATGCAGACTGAGCGCCGAGCTCGCCTCGGACTTGGAGATACGTCTAACGAGAAGGTCCATCAGAGGCTGCATGTGCAAATACTCCAGTCGCACATCTTTCAATGCTAAGGTGCGAAGCTTTGGAAACGCGATATCCTGTTCCCCTGGTCGATTGGAAAACAGCTCGATGAACGCGGGAACGTCGTCCGTTCTCTTCAATATGATCTCTGACGCGGTGCTTTCCTTGGCCAAATCGAAGAACTGGCGGCCGAGATGGTTGGCAGCCAACACGTGTATGTCTGCGATCTCGAGCTGATCTACTCGCTGGACAGCCCGGGCAAAACCTGCGAACGTCATGCCTATCTGAAGAGGGGGTCTATGGGATAGATGTTTGGGCTGTTTCCAAATCAATGATCCTCGAGCCATTGCATCGCTTCCAGCAGATGAACAAGACGGCCACATTGTGGTTTCAACATGCATGTTTGGAAGAAGCTCCGCCCGAGTCGATGCATATGCAAGCGGCTGCGCCGCAAAACAGTGGTTATTCATAGCTCGTAGCACCCGGAGCATGTATGACCACGCTTCTTCTACTTCAATGTGATATATATCCCCTGCCTCCAGAAAGAAGTGATCCTGGATAGTCATTTGAGCATTTGAGGGCAGGGCCAGGTAGGTCAACATGGCAGCGCTTTGTGAGAATGCACTTGACAGATGCAACGAGCGAAGGTGGGGCATGGGCACACATCGCGGCCTAAGCACCCCTGATACTGCATCGCTGAAACCGCCTGAAAGCTGAGAAGAATAGCCCAGCTCGTACATGAAGCTCGATAAGAGAGGAACGCTCCGAAAGAACTGTATCATCTGTTCGACATCTTCCCACACTACTGTGTGCTGTAGCGACAGTTCGGTAAGACACTGCGAGAAGACTCGCGAGGAGGGAGAGAGCGTGCAATTCTGTAGACAGGCAGACGCGACCTTCGCAAAAGGTGGCGATGCAACCTCGAAGGATGAAAAAACAAGTTCTACTAAAGGCAAGCTTGAGAAACCATCGCATTTTATCGACACTTCTTCCAGGTGCGGTGCAGAATGTGAGAGCAGATCCGCAAGTCTCATTGTCCACAGGAAAATGTCCGGGTCTCTGGCAGTATCGTCGGGGCTTCTCAAGTGTACATGAAGCTTCGACGCGACACATAGGCGAATCATCGCGAGCTGAACAGCATCACGATAGTTACTACGCCCACTTTCAAGATAGCAGGACTCGACGTAGAGCGCGACCGGAGTTGACCAACGGCAGCGAAGAAGACTTTGTACTGTCCAGGCCCTAGTAGGTCCGATGACACTCGCCCATAGATGTGAGCTGGAGAGGGCTATCTGTCGCCACCGACGGCAGACTTGGGAAGGATACGTGCACGGCGGGATCTCTGGCCCATGAGCATCTAGAGATCGCTCTGACGCCACCGAGACGTTCAGATACTCGAGTATCTTCAGTAACAGCTCGTTTGGGAGATCATTGATGGGGGTATTAGAACCATCAAAGTACCCTCGTGTACGCCGCAGACTCGATATTCCTATTTTTTCCGCTTCAGTACAGCTAGGCGTTGTCGCGCTGAACACGTACCTTGTAAACGCAAGTTGGACGTTTTCAACACCAGTGCAGCCAGGCCATCCTCCTCGTCATCAGAGGAATCACGATCTGAGCAATCTGAGTGCACCATATTTCTGTTCATATGCGAGAGAGCGAAATTTCCGGTAGGACTGGGTTGCAGGTCGTCGTACAAGACGAAGCCTTATTGTCTTGCTGAACCACCCAATCGTCCATCACGGCGATCCGGCCCGGCCCCCGGCGCCACCCTGTCGGCGCAGTCGTGCGTCACGCAAGTTGGTGTTGACCCTCATCTGAGAGTACTTACCTACTCACCTACTTGCCTGGCTTACCGTCCAAACATGTACTATAGATCCATGGCTGCTCTCGTGATATCTCGTCGTGACCGTTGACCGGCTCTCAGCTTGCCCATTGGTCACCGCCGAGAGTGACTAGCGAAGCACAACTAGAAGCTCGAACCCATGTAGCTCAACAACCTCCCCTGCTCGCAGACTTTACTCGCCTTATATTTCAATTGACCATGCACCCAAGCTTTCCATATTTATGAATAGTGGAAGAAACTCTGCGCACGCCGCTCGTCCCATCGATACGACGATATCGCAGAGGCTGGCCCTTTGTCCTCTGTATAGGGCAGTATACCCAGGACCTTGTCTCCATACCCTGACACTCCCGACTGCCACGGAATTTGAAATGCGAGATCGCGTAAAACGTGCTACACCTGACGACGGTTGTCCAATAGACCAGCGATGTGCTTATTGACAGCCGCGGCCTCGAGTCTCCTCCGACGGTCTGCCTCGCCTCGTGTTCCTCGTCCTGCTTCTCTCATAAAGGCGGTGTGTATGTGGCAGAGTGACAGTTACTTCCGCTCGCCTTGATCCCCGTACCATGGCCGCGCGGCGCTGGCCACTTCTCCCAAATCTCAACTCGCCGTCCATCGTCTTCCTCAGTGCAGACACCTTACCAGACGGCCTCATGGCAGCTGGGAAGACTCCAACTCAGTTTCAAGAATACGTACGCCTAGTGCTTGACATTCCATTGTTCCTACAATGCTAACACCGTCGTAGGCCTGAGTGTACACCCCGCCACTTGCGACAACGTACTACTCTCACGCTTCTAGAGCGGACTCAACGATCCATGCAAAAGCCCAAGAGCTCGCAGGGTTGCATCCTGTCATACACACACGCAGAATGATACGCAGGTGTAGCGGAGACAAAGAAGCTGTTGATGTCATTGAGTTAGTCCTGATGTATTCGCATGGATTGCCCGGCGGCCCTCAATGGACCCCTATCGTACTACAGTCTGTCCGGCCAGCAGCGCGCCGATCTTTCGGGTCGTCCAATGTTCTCACAATCGCCGACTCATAGCTCGTGGTCCCAGTCTTCACAGGATGCTATAAAAGCCAAGTCGCTATCCACCGCATTCTCAAACATCGCCTTCCAACATTGTCGCTTCCTACTACGCTCCTACACCCCTTCCTCCCCAGTTTCTTCCCATTTGGACCTCATCGTCAGCCATGTCATCCGCCGCATCCCCCAACACAAATGCCGCCACCGCTCCTGCCACCACTCCCTCACCCCCTCCGCCTTCCCAGCCCATCGCGATTCCTGGACGCTCTCAAAGTCATCCTGCACCGTCCGTTGCCCTTCCAGATAATCGCCCCTCCGTGCCACCTGCTCGGCTCGTATCTGGCAGTGGTGCCGGTTGCTCTGGATGCGGTGTGTACTTGACGTTCCTTATATTGCGACCTTAAGTCTCATACGTGTGCAGATGGCATCAACGAACACACCTCCGACTGCAAGATCAACGCGCACTGAGCAAACGCGACGCAAGAGCAGCGTTTTCACGACTCGTTATGATTGTCATGATGTCCGCGATATGTCCATACCTTGTATTTGTACCTGTGTTGCATGTATTGCACTGTTTAAATCGAGATGGTCTTCAGCTGAGCCGAGCAAGGTGGAAAGTGCGAGCATTGAGCTCCATGCAAAAACAACTTCCGATAAGCTGTTATAAGTGGCAAAATGCGCAATTCATTGGTACAACAAGTTCGCAAGTAGATACACAACATCAATGCATCGCGACGGTAAAAGGCGAGAACTATGCACGCGAGAAGAGCTGAATGCGTGCTAACGAAAGCCAGTGATATCAGGCGCTCCATTTTGTACCGTATCCAAGCCGCACGGTATCTCCGTACAAGAGTCGCATGTCAGAAAGATGGTCGAGAGCTCAGCCATAATCAGTAGCGCTCTATTCGGCAGCGGTGCATCGAGGAAGGGGACGCGTCAGTGGCAGGACACGGAGGCACAACAAGCCAACGATCCACGTAAGGGCAAGATGCGTTGTCCGCCGAAGGCACAAGAGGAGTCTAAGAGACATCAGGGTGTAATCGTGAGCGATAGATCGCAATGGTCGTAGATGTCTGTTGATGTGTCCGGCCTGGCTGCCTTTGGCGTATGGCAACTGGCGATGCACGAGAGAGATATGCATGAGAGCAGGTTGCATAATGTCACACAGCACGCACGGAGTGCTATGACAGGGGTTCGCTAGGAAAAGACAGACCCAATCAGGTCAGACAACGGCGCGAAGGTAGAAGGCGAAAGACAACTTAGACAAGGGGCAAGTCGCATGAACGCGCTGTCAGCGTTGTTGCCGCGTCGCGCGCTCGATGTTCCCAGCGTTACCAGTGTTGCTTGGCTTTGACCGTCATGGTCGACTGAATTCTTCTGGACTTTACACATTTGTGGTGATGCACTGCAGTGATGGAGAGAACAGACAGCGAGTGTTGTGCATATTGAGTTCTGCTGAGTTCGACCATTCGCTGGCACGCACTGGACCTTCGTCGCATCGAGC